GCCCCATGTGAATAAAATATTATTGTAAAAATGGGGCCCACCCCAATGTGTCTATTCTGTGATTTTTACATAATTGATTTTTCTATAATTGTAACATCTTTCAAATATATATATATATACAAAACACGCATAGTGGGCAGCAAGCAATTAATATATATAGACACACACATTGAGCAGCTGATTTGGACGCACAAAAAGTGGAGGAAATTGGCCGACAACACGTAATTTGGATATTATTCACGTTCCGTCAATTTTTGGTGATGTATTTTTACTTTTGCGTGTTTAATTTCAACATTACGAGTGGCTAAATACTTTTATGTTAGGATGAATAATATAGATTAAGGTTTTTATTATATGTTTAATTTCAAGATTTTCATGCCATTTTAATACTTGTTAATTAATTATTGTGTATTTAATGCTATTATTTGTTTGTGCAACAATTAATTAATTTAGGGATAATACTGAGATATAGAAGTGATGTATTGCAGCAAAAATCCTGACCATCCAACCACATAATCTTACCTACAGTTTTAATTTGAGTTTGTTATTTTATTCAAAGAAAATTGCAGCAGTAGTCGCAAATCTTTGCCTTTTTTGCAGACTTTACACTAACCTTTGTTTTGTGCTGCGGAGGTCCCAAACCTTGCAAAAATATACACCGGAGGTACAATGGATGGGTTCATCCATTTGACCGTTAGTTGACCAAACAAATTGATTTGACCAATTTTAGTAATGGTAAAATGGTAAGTTTGCATTTTATATTTTTCCAAATATTATTAACAATTAAATTAAAAACCAAAAAGAAAATATGCCCCATCCACCCCCACGCCATTTTCCCCTTCAACTCCGGCCAGCCACCACCCAAATCACTGGACGTATATACCACTAGAAAGCCCTCACCACCCTCTACAACTTCCACCCAATGCCCTGCCTCAAACCCACCTGAACTCGCCGAAAAATTAAGCCAAAACAGCCTATTCGAATCCCCCAAAATGGCTAAAATCTCCAATTCCGGCAACACCCATGTCATGCCCAACATTCCAGGTAATTACACACATTAAGGCGCCCCTGTACATGGTCATCAATCATCCTTATACACACAGAATCAAAACCAGCAAGCTACATCTTCGAACACAGCAACTTCGCGACTTTCAGATGGCTTTTCCAGTGTCGGTGGTAGGACCCATGATTACGGACAACCACCACAAGCACCTACTCTTCATGATGCGTCCAATGAACATATGGGTCTTCCCCACTTTGACTTGAAATGACAATTCATTCTTTCAATCGATTTTGGTTGGGGGTTCAATTGATTTTGGTTGGGGGTTCAATCGATTTTGGCTAGATTTTGTTTGTTTTGTATTACGGTAGTCGACAACAGATCTGGTGGTTTTACAATGGTGCGCGGCGATGGAGACATGATGGCTTATAGTTTGGTTGGATGTTGGGGGTGGAGAGAGTGAAGTTGGGGAAGAAGAAGGAGACGGGGATGGGGTGACGGGGGTGGGATGGGTTTATAAATTTATTTTTATTTTTGGGTTTTTAATTTATTTTTTTTAACTTATATGCAAACTTACCATTTTACCCTTACTAAAATTGGTCAAAATCAATTTGCTTGATCAACTAAAGGTCAAATGGACTTCCAGTGCATATTTTTTAAAGGTTTGGGACCTCTGCGGCACAAAACAATGGTTAGAGTAAAGTTTGCAAAAAAGGAAAAAGGTTTGGGACCGCTGCTGCAATTTTTCCTTTTATATATTAGAATTTCATTTAGAAAGCATAATTTGATTTGATCAGTAGTTATTATTCTTTATGGAATATTCAGACTTAATAAATCTACTTTATTACTTGTCATGATCTGTACACTTGTAGAATTTAACAAACAAGTTTTTGGCGCCGTTGTCAGGGACTATTTTATTTGCTTTAAATTTTTTATTAATTCTAGTTTTGAGTTATATTTTGTTTTTGTTTGTTTTTGTGTGTTTTTGTTTTCATTTTCATCGCAAGTGTCTGTGCATGCGAAGTTCGAGAGTATGTAACATATTACACTTTGATCTAGAAATCGAACACACTTTTAACTAGAGAATTAGGTAACAACAAGAGAACATCGTGGCAGATCAGAATAGAGAAGTGCAACCGGCACAGGTTGAACAACCTGTCGACATTGATGAAGATGATTTACCACTTG